ACAGCACCGTACCATTGCGGCAAACGTCCATAATGCAATGTCTCCTCAAGCAGAGCTCCCTGGGATACTGGATTCATTTAAACTTATTCTTCATTATGTTTCAGAGACTTCTCTTCCCTGTCTTTGCACAAGCTGGACAAGCCTACAGCGGGCGTGGGGGAAGGGTGCGGGATCTCAAGCATCGGCTTAACTATTGAATCATGATTATACCAGGCATCATTCTGGGTCACAAAAACCCAACTCACACAGGCTTATGTATAAGGAAGAGACTTTGCTGGCTCACAAAACTGAAAGGTGGAGAAGCAGTTCCCAGCTTCAGGTGTGGCTGGATCCAGAGCCTCCTTTACGGATGTCACCAACCTCCTTTATCTCTGAGTTCTGCTTCCTGTCCATGAGTTCTTACATGCTACCAGCTCACCACACTCACCAAAAAGCAAGCTTTTCTTTAATAGTCCAGCTAGTCCAACTGCCAGATTCAGCAATCATGTGGGACACCTTTATGCTAAGAAACTATCCCTAGCTAATCTGGAATTCAAATGTAACTAAACATCCTGTATTTCATCTGACAACCTTCATCTAACACAGGTCCTAGGACTGAATCTGACACATACCTTCCCAGACCAGGTCAGGAGGATGGGCTGTGCCCCTAGTAGGCCAGGGTCCCTTGCCTATCTCTGCAAAGGAGAGAGCATGGTCAGCCCTCCCAATGCTCTGAGAGTGGAAATGGGGTCCCCTTCACAGTAACTGGGAGGCTGACCCTCGAAGAAGAGGGATGAACTCCGCACAGGCAAATACAACAAATGTCCACACCGTGACCCCAAAGGTCCCAAAGAACAGGAAAATAGTGACACTCCGCCCACAGTGGTCATATGGCACATGGTAATTTATAAAGCATTTTCACACCGCTCTTTCCTTGCCACCCACACCACTCGTTGGTTGGCAGAGAAAATATAAGCACTCCCTGTATTCTTTTGCTCGAGTTGTCATACCAAGTACTACAGACATCTCTTTTCTGACTATAGTTCTGAAGGCTGGAAGTCCAAGATCAAAGTGTCAGCGGGGTTAGTTTCTTCTGAGGCCTCTCTCTCTGGCTTGTGGATGGGTGTCGTCTTGCTGTGTGCTCACATGGTCTTTCCTCTGGGCACATCTGTGTCCACATCTCCTATTCTTACGAGGACACCAGTTGTGTAAAGTTTGTTACCCCATGTCCCGCGTGGTTCAGGGTTCAGGATCTGGAGAGGAGCCGCACACAAATGAAAGAGAAGAGACAAGAGATAATTTGGAAATACTGAGGGGCCAGGTGGGTAAGTCCAACTCAACGGGAAGGACTTCCACTGGTGCTCAGGCCTTGCCAACCTTTTATTGGTTAGGGATACACCCATAGCCCTTAGGCAGGCAATTTCCAGTAACAGGCAGACTTGCCCTTTAGCAAGGATTTACATAATAATAAATGGGGAAGTTGCTTCAGCTACCATTGTCTGGACTAACAGTGGGTGCACAGCCCTGACCTTTGCCAGGGCTTCAAGGGTCCCCAGCCTTCCGGGTTCCTTGTCCACACCTCTCTGCTAGTGAAGACAATAGGCGGCTTCCCACAACCAGTCATATTGGATTGAGGCCCACCCTAGTGACCTCATTCTAACCTAATTACCTCCTTTAAGACCCTGTCACCAAATAGTTACACTCTGAGGTAGTTGAGGTTAGGACTTCAACATGTCAGTTGACAGAGGGACAAACCTCAGCCCCTCACACTCCACCCTCTACTGTTTTTTTTCAGATTAGGAACAGGACAGTGAGGGTGCTCTGAGCTGTCCCCGTCCCAGGACAGATTTAACGGTGGAACTCCGTAAGGAGCCTTTTCCAACTCCACGCAGTGGCAGCCCCTGCTGCGGCTGCCCAACCTCTGCCCAGCCCTTCTGTCCCCATGTGGCCATTGCGTAGACAAGTGCCCGCCTGCCAGAGTGGCAGCTCCCTGCCCGGAGAGCACACAGCAAGCCCATGTTCACGGTCCCTGCCCCTCACCCAGCACATGGTGTTCCTGAAACAAGCATTCCCTGAAAGGAATGAGACCAAGAACAAATTCTAGAGTGTTAGCTTAGTTAAAGGAAGAGGGCAGGCGCACCTGCTCAAGTGGAGTGATAAAGACTCTAGGACAGCAAAAATCATGAGGCTTATGCATATGCAAATGAGCCGGGGAAGAACTAATCAGAGGGTAGATTACAAAACAGAAAAAGACTAAAACAAGTGAGGGGGGAACAGTGAATATTTCAGTGTCTTTAGTTCATAAGAAATTCATGAGCAACGCATGTGAAAATGTTGTTGGTTTTGGTGATGGGAAAGAACTGTAAATATGTATAACATGTAAATACCTTTTATAATAAAAACCGTGAAGATAAACGAGCCTGCCGGCAGAAAAGCTGCGAACTGTCTGAGATGCTAATGTAGCTGTCATCACCCAAAAATTACCATAATGCTTGCAGGGCTTTGAAAGTTCCTGAGCTTGGGAAAGAAATGCATAAATTGGAACCAGAAAACACAAACACCACGCATCTCTCTCACTGTCTTTTTTAATATATATATATGAAAGGTAGCTTGAGTGAGAACAAGCGCTGGAGTTGACCCATCCGGGGTCAGATGTGACTTCCTTCCACCACGAATGCGCTGCGCGGCCCAGCAAGTTGTCCAGTCCCTCTGGGGCTCACTTTCCCATCAGAAATGGGGACACCGACAGCTCCCCAGGCCGCGTTTTGGGGAGGAGCGATCCGGAGAACCGAGTACAAATGAAGCAG